CCTGGCTCTGGCCCTGTCCCCAGCACGGCCGTGCCTCTAGCGAGCATCCCCGGCGATCAGAGCAGCCTGGCTGCTGCAGTCAGCCCTGCGGAGACCTCTGCTCCCTTGGGCTCAGCTCCAGCCAGCGGCTGGCCCCACCGTGACCTTGCTCTACTGAAACGACATTGGACTGAAGGACTTTTTAATTTTCTCTCTCCTTTCCCCCCTCCCCTTTTCTTTATTCCTTCCCGCCCCCACCTGCCTTTTTTTTTTCCTTTTTTCTTTTTTTTTTTTTTTTTTTTTTTTTTTTTTTTTTTTTTTTTTTTTTTTTTTTTTTTTTTTTTTTTTTTTTTTTTTTTTAGCGTATTTTGGGCCGCTGTGGATGAGAGCCTCTGCTGTAAAGGAGAGGGGCTCCAATGCTATCAGCGTTATCAGCTGATGTGTAAGCGATGCCTCGCAGGCAGCAGCCTGGAGCTGAGCAACTGTGCCATCATCCGGCCGGGATCAGCAGCGGGTCCCCGGCTGCCACGGAACCTTCCTTCCCTCTGAGACATATCCTATCGACTGACAGAAATTATTTTTTGGAATCAAAGCCGGGGAAGAAAAATAAATCTGGAGGGAAAGGCTATTATTGCAGTTCATGAGTTGGTATTTTATCTGAAAGCGAGAGAGATAAAGAAAAGCATTAGAAAAAGTCACCCCGGGAAGCTGGAGCTGGCCTCGGCAAACACTGTTAAATATTTGCAGGAGAATTCTGCAGATCGCCAACTGCTTAGATCTACAATCTCCCAGGGCAGGAATTAAAACACAGTTTGGATGATCACTCACATATCATTTTATTTCTTGGGCCCAGCCAGCTACCTAGGGAGAGAGGTAAAACTGGACAAAAACTGTACATAAAGCATGAACTGAACCCAAAGTGATCCTGTGAAGCTGTAAAAAGTCTCTTCTCTGAAAACAGAGGTGCTTTATGTTCTTATACAGGAATAAGTGCAACAGTGTGGGGATGTTTTTGCACCCATATATTTGGTATAGAACCATTGCCTTGGCCCAACATGAAATAAAAGAGCCAATTTCTCCCCTCCCATTGACCTGAAATGCCTCCCTACATATTTCACTGTTGGTCTCATGATTGTTGTTAGCCAAGATTTGTTGCTTGTTGTTTTTGTCCAAAAACTGGCAACTTTCATCAGCCCAAACTCTGCTTTTTGCAGTGTCTAGGGGCTTCTTTCAAAGCAGCTAATGAAGGGAAGAAAGCCTATCTTCAGGATACCAGAGCTTTTAAATAGGGGTTAGCACCTCTGTTTCAGGATTTTCTATCAGAGAAAGTCTGAGTTCTGCTCCTTTGGAAAAATAATTTCTTACTGACCAGAGCAAGACAGTAAGTTCAACTAACAAAATGAAAGCATGAAGCCTGCAACCTGACTGGTATGCACAATTTCTCTTCTACAAGGCTAAATGCACAAAATGCATAAAAACTGGAAACTGATCCCTCTTTTGTCTCAAAACCTCTCCTTCAGGGATCTTCAGCCCACTGGAACCTGTCTGAGAACCCAAGAGCCCAGAGATGTTTGGTGGCAGCTCCTTGCTGGAGCTGCCCAGGAACCAGCAGGCAGTGGTGACTTTACAGACAGCTTACATCATGTAAGTCATTATCAGAGTCCACAAGAGCAAACTGGGCAGTTTTTGATGGAAGCGAGCTAATTTCTTTCATGAGGTATGGATGGTAATTACCATAATCCACAAAAATATTCTTAGAAGATATTGCATCTCCAGGGTGAAAAGGTCTCAGCTGTGGCACTGAATTCTAACACTGTCATATTTGATTTACCAGTGATCATTAAGACTTACATCAAAGGTCAGGAATAACTGCTATTTGTAAGCTGAAAAAAAGGTATAAACACTTTAATTTATTGCCCTGTCATTGTCAATTCACTTGGTATTCACTGTGATAGCACTGCTGTTAATGAATGTATTTGGTAATAATGTGGATGTCATAGATATTTATGCTCTCATCTCTTTCAGTGGCTCAGCAGGTAAGGCAAGTTAGGAGCTTTGCTATTTTACATTTTATAAATTAAAGAGCAAAAAGAAATAATATTTTATCTCAAAGAAGTACTTAACAAATATCTATCACATTTAGCTGTACCAAACGGGGGTCTATCTTATCATAGAAAAATCAGTACTGCAAAGAAAGTGATAAGTGTCTGGGATTGCTGGAAGCCCAAGAGAAAAGCTTTCCATGGCTTTGAGAGGAAACAGGTCAGACTCTGTTCAAAACATGAAGTTTAGCTGATACATAAATGTAGCTAATAAATATAGCTAATAAAGAATTTTTTAAAATTATGTCTTCAAGTTTTGTGTATGAGCAAGACTTAAGTCACGAATGGGAAAAAGTACCCTTGGATATGTTTCAAATCTTGAATCAACAAGGAAAGGAACCAGCAAAAGAACCGTAACCTTTGCACAGTGGAGAAATGTGTGCTTGAATGAAGCTTATAAAAAAATCTCTTAAATGTAAGCTGACCTTGATTTTTGAACAGTCAGATGGCACGTATGCATTTAGCTGACTCTGCATTAATGTGATTTTCCACACATTTTAAAATGAAACACAAATACTTTGTAATCCCTTCGCACACATATTTAGCCTGCTCTCTGCAGATCACCCAGTGGTGTCTCAAAACCTGGATTCTTTTCAGTGAAGGTCAGCAGAAGCCTGACCATTGCTCCCAAAGGCTCTGGCACCTTGATTATAACCAATTCATTCATTTTGTAGTCCAGTCATAACCCTTTTCATAATATTAATACAGATAAACAGCAAATGCCTTCCTCATTCTGAAATGCTGCCGTGGGCTCAGGAGATCATTATGGAGCAGCTGCTCACAGTCTGTGCATGGCATCCTAAAGGAATGCCTGGAAAATGTTTATACACCTTGACCATTGCTATTGCTTTATTATCATGCAATAAAACCTTCTCACTCATATTGATCAGTTTTATTGATATGAATTTTCCTATCTTTTGATGATGAAAATCCTGCTCTACTAATGCTTTGAGTCCAGCTCAACAGAACTCGGCAGAAGGAGGAAATAATTGACAACAAGTACACTTTAAAAACCTCTGTCCTGACCCAACCACCTTATCCATAAATCAGGATCCTGCAGTTTCAAAGCCTGGGGTGGTACAAGTGGGTTAATGAGTCCCTGCCATTCCCAGAGCTTCCTGGGGCCCCAGTGTGCCAGGGACAGGAGGATGGGCACGTCCTCTGCACAGCTGCCTGTCACTGCTGCAGTCACCTCACTGCAGCCCCTGGGCACTGATTCAGCTTGGAAAGTGCTGCAGTGGGAGAAGGGGAGGCTGCCAGGATGTGTGCCAGCCTGAGAACTGCTGTGGCTGGGGATGTGCTGCCCTCTTGCACATCCCTAGTGGGACTGGGCTCAAAAATCCAACATTTTTGTAGGGACAGAGAGACAGAAAACCTGTTGGTTTTTTTCAGAGCCTTTCACTGTTTTCTTCTGAAAAGATCATTAGTTTGCAATGCAGTAATTTGTTCCATAGATTAATTTTATGCTTTGATTATGAAAACTTAAATGTTTCCTTGAAGCCTTTTGCAATTTTTTGCCTTTTAATTAAGATGGAAAAGTACCTAAATGGCTGAGTGGTGGCTATAGTATGAAATAATTCACTATTTGATAATTTTCCCATTGAAGTTTCTAACTCTGTGTCATACTGAATCTAATACCTTCCTTTAGTGATGCTCTGAATGCCTGTGGAGCCTTTGGCAAGAGCTGGATGTACAAATAGAAATGGGAAATTCACAGCAGAATTATTTGGAGGCTTATGAAACGTCAGGCTTGTACTCAGCACAGACGTGACTCGCTGTGAAGGAGTCTTCTGGCTTCCTTTGTTACTACATGAAGAATTCATTTTGGCATCTCCCTTTAGGGCTGGTTCCTTTTAGGCCATGATTGCATTAATAATATCAGCTCATGGTGTAACTGATTGAATCCCTTTCACGCTGGGGAAGAATTAAAGCCCAATCTAATTCATTACTGACCCATAATCAGCAAAGCCACGAAGTAAAGGACATTATTTTCTCTCAACTTTTCTATATGGATATATTAATTTTTATACTTCATACTCCTGAAGTAATTAAATGCTCCTAAATGAGGAAATGCTTCATGTAAATGTGATTTCAACACCAAAGATTGAGCTTGTTCCTAGGGAACAGTGTTATTTAACTAAAAAGCTAGTTTCATTTCCTAAAAGCAAATACATTTTGAGGCTAAAAATATTGTTTTATTATTATTAAATTGCTTAGATGCAAAAATTGGATTTCTAGCTGAAGAATAAAAGGACACCTTGGTTTTTGCAAGTGTATGCGCTGTAATTTTTTTTTGCATTGTTCATCTTGCTGCCTCCTTAGATCTCTTTGCTTTAGGATTAGCAAGATAACAAACATGTTCAGGTTCTAAAAGATTGTTTTTGGTGATGCTCTTTGAAGTGCTGCAGAATGCAAGCTTAGCCCCAGCTTTACAAGTGAGGCCTGTTCCCAGAGCTAAAGTAAACACAAACACACATGGCAGGTTATGCAGGAGCAGGATGCTTCTCCCCAGAGGCATTCCCAGGAAATCCCAGAGGACCCAGACAAGCACATTTTCCTATCCACACCTTAAAATAATCAGCCTTACATGTAGAATTTCTGCATTTTGCTTGTTTGGTCCTTGGTTTGCCAATAGCAGGGAATTCCCTCCGAGCTGCCCTACAGAACATGCAGAGGCAGCAGCACAGTTTGGGTGTGAGCTCTGCCATCAGCCATCCTGCTGATGTAGGTTAAATGTTCATTTAAACCTGAAACTTAAGAAGATTCTTTGCATTTCTTCAGTATGATGATTTATTTTCCCCTTTTTTGGTGATACATATAGCTGATCTTTTCTGAAGCTTTTAATATTTCTGGACTCTTTTTGAGTAGGGAGCCACTCTATTGTGGCTCCCTACAATAATGAGTTCTTCAGGCTAATTGAGCACCAAGGAGAATAATCTTTTGGTCACTTGTGGGGTTTTTGGTAATTTTAATCATATTTAATTCTTTGCAATGAGTCTCCTAAAGACTGTGTTCATACCCCACCGAGATGGCAGATACCTCTGCAGCTGGGATCTTCAGCAGATGCTGATCTTTGCTGAGCTGTCTTTGAGGTCCTGCCAGCTGAGAAGGCAAAGTGAAAGGGCTGGCCCATATTCAGAAGGAAGAAGTCACATGGAGAAGAGCCTAGAAGTGGTCCTGGGACATGCCAGAGGCTCAGAGGGCCCCCTTGCCCTGCTCCCTGAGCAGCCAGCTCCTCTCCCAAGGAAGCCCTGGAAGTGAGCAGAGAGTGAGGGCTCTCACAGCCACCCATACCTGAGCCGCTGCTGCTTCCCACAAGACTCCTCAGAAGCAGGAAAAGTCACCTATGAATGTTAAGCTTAAAAAAGCAGCAGGGCTGAGGAGTATTTTTGGCATGAACTGAAGAATCCTTTTGTTCCAGCTACAGCCCACATGCTGATTCAGCTCAGCAGCTCTCCTCTTCTGTTCCCTTCCTTTCCCAGGGCTTTCTTAAACACCACTTCGAGGTTGCTGTTTTCTTCCAGCCTGCTTCAGTTATGTTTGGTAATGATGGCTCATAAAAATATTGGCACATACTCTCAGCTGGTGGCAGTAGTCTGTAGGAGCTTGCTATCAGTCAGGGTATGACTCTGTTCTTTTTTCATGGTTTTGCTATATTTATTTGATCTCATCTACAATAAAGCCTTTTGATACAGCTGAAGTGATAGAAAGGCATCATATGGTAAATGGTAATCAGGCTTTTCAATATGAAATGGTTTGAATAAATTTGCTTTGTGGAGTCTATCCAGAGCTAAATTCTGCTGTAATTTGTCACCAAGGCAGTGCCAGAGTGCTCAGCTCTGGCAGGTGAGATGCTCCTGGGACAGAGCGGGCGGTGTCACCCCTACACACTGCAGGGTGACTTGCTGACCTGGAGACCAGAATAAAGGCAGTTTTAAACAGAAGTGGGTCCTGTCTAATTCTTTTTCACTTAACACTCTTTATTTACAAAACTATACATATATGATAACTGAAACTCTAATTTTATTTGTACTGAATATACCAGTATTGCATATAGAGCCAGTATCACAGCTCTCTGCATGCTGAGGTATTTAATACCTTGAGTGGCTATTTGTGCCTGAATAAGTTGGGGGGAAAAAAAAGAGAAAACCAAAATATTTTTGAAAAAAGTATAGGGGAAAGGATAAAGACAATAGCCAGAACATGCTGTAGAAAAAAGGAGGATAAATATTTAAGAACCCAATCTTGACCAGAATTTAAATATCCTCCCAAATACTCAAAAATTCCCTGCAACAGTCCTGTTTCCATCTTCAGGAGTAATTTGTTTGAACAGCACACATGAAGAAGCTACATCTCTACTGGCTGGTCTCTGTATAAGAACTGAAGGGGGAAAAGTACCTAATTAACAAGCACTGGATCACTGAAGTGATGAGGTGAGGTCCCTGTGAAGGTTGCTCAGTGCCCAGCAGAGCTGATGTTTGCCATAGAGGTGTCCTCAGCCACCGTGTCCAGGAGCATTCACAGCAAATCAAGCTGGGTTATATATTTATAGATCCATACCATCACACCAGAAAGGAATTTTTTAGTGCTAGTTTACCTCACCTGGCCCGGAGCCTGGAGCCACAAGGGAGATGTTTCCTCCGTGGCAGGTGGCATCAAAGGAGCTCCAGGGACATTCACTGCATTTTAAGCCCCAAGTGATAATGTTGTGATGTGTTTATTTGATTACATAATGCAAAACAAAAATCAGCCTATACAAAACTTCAGGCAGAGCAGTCTGTACTTTTTATTTTTCCCATTTTTATGACCCTAAATCTGCAGAATAACTTCCAATTATTACTCAAAATTGAACTTTTATTTTTGTTCTTCAGGTTTATTAAGTTTCTTTTGGAGTATACACAAAGTGTTAAATACCACTATGGATATAGCTGTGATGGGTTCCCTTTTTGTATTCTTTTTATTCTTATGAAATATTTTATATATTGAATAAAGAGCTCTGTTGTGTGTCTGGCAAGACTTGGGTCTGTACACTCTCAGCCCAAACCACAATGACAGAGCATTTCCACCACATCTTCCTCTCACTCTGCCACTCAAAACCTCTGCTGCTGCTAATTCAGACTGACTTTTCCTTGCCAGTGGCCATGGAACCACATTGTGCCCCTTCTGCAAGGAGGTAAATGCTGGGTAATTTCACCATCATCTGCGCCAAAAGCTTAGGGGAGGCTGGCAGAAAAAAAAAAAAAAAAAAAAAAAAACTAAGATCTCAAACAAAAAGTAAGTTATTTTGAAAGCTTGACTAGGAAAGTTTCAGTGAAGGGGAACAAGAAGTGGCTGTGGAGTTGCTGGAGATCTTCCCCTGGCCAATTCCTGAGCTCAGCTGCAGCTGCCTGGAAACCTTGGGCACCTTGAAGCAAAAATTGCTGGTGATTTTTCCCTGTGAATTCCCACCAGCACCCATGGAAGCCCTTGGGCCACCTACCTTCTCTGGCTGGGCTGAAGGGCTGCTCTCCCTGGGCTTCCCAGAGAGAGGAAGAAATGAAAATACTGCTCCAACCTTGGGACTACAGCTTCTGAGGACTTGTCTTTTCCAAGTACCAGACCCTGAAGGACACTTCCCCACAACCTCCTGGATGAATCCAGATAAAGTCAAAGCTGAGCATTTGCTTTGTGTTGACACACTGTTGTTGGGGGTTTTATTATATTTATTTTCTGAAGAAAGATTTCTTTTTCTCCTGAAAAATGTTGTGTGGAATTTGAAATGCAGATTTCAACCAGCTGCATTTCTTATCTGATGTCCTTTCACGGCACTGCTGTGCCGTTGTCAGAAATATATGATCACATCTTGAGGGAAAAAACTTACTGCCAGAGTCTGTTGATTCTGTGGAACTATATTAAAATACTGGAAATTACCTTAGCACTGGTGACTGCTTTGTTTGTTTGTTTGCTTTTATTCCTTTTAAAAGCTGGAGAAAGGGTAAAGTGGGCTGACTATTTTCTCCTTCTATTGTTTAGAATAGTGACTGACCTTTCTTTGGAATGGCACATCTAAAAATGGCATTCCTTGCTGGTGACAGGAGGGTGTTTGAGATGCAGGCTCCAGCCCAATCCTCTCCTCAGACGTGGGAGTAAGCTATTTCTATTGAACAGGAAGACGGATTAGATGCAGAATGGCATTAAAAGGAGAGAGTAATGCAGAAGCATCACTGTTGTTTCTTGAATGTAATTTTAAGTAAATGACCTTAAACTGCTCACATGCTTGAAAATAAATCTCTGTTCTGCTTGGGTTGTGTTTCCACAGTGCTTTTTATTTGCAAGTGGTTATGAATACGACAGATCCTGGATTTTAATTTTTTTTTTTATTATTTTTTTTTTATTTTTTTCTTTAAAAAACAAGTCAGAAGTTGCAATGAAGAAATTGTCAGGAAGGAGCCTGGAGTGGAATGCCCTGCCAAGAAGCCCTGGTGGCTGGGCCAGTGCCCCTGAGCCTGGGGAGGCACTGGCAGGGGGCTGTGGGATCCCAGAGCAGCAGTCCCCTCCCAGCTGTGCCACAGCTGCAGGTGTGCCACACGGGGTGGACGTGGCCACAGCTCTGCTCTTCCCCTCTTTTGGGCTGCAGGAAGAGGCTCCTCTCCAGCATTCCAAGGAGTCCATTTATTTTCTGAGACACGGGGCTATGCTCCTCAGCTGGGAATGTGAGGGGGGTGAGGAGAAAGGCCAGGCCATGGGGAGGTGTGGCAAGCACATTTCTCTCCCTCTCAGGATTTTTCATAGAGGTGCACAGAGAGAAATGAAAGAGAAAACAATTTCTATTTCTGCTCCTTGTTTTTCCTATGTGGAGTGTGTTTGGAGAATTGTTTACCTGGGGTGATTGCTTGGTTGGATTCTGGTGAGGATTGTTTGAGCCTGATGGCCAATCCAACCCACCTGGGGCTGGACTCTCAAGAGCGGGTAACGAGTTGTGGGGAGTTAGAGTCAGAGAAAGTAGTGTGTAGTTTTAGTATCCTCCTTTTATATAGCATGTTAATGTATTTTAGCATAGTTATAATAAAGAAATAATTCAACCTTCTGAATTGAGTCAGACATCATCATTCCTTCCCACTGGGTTCGCCTGCGTTTACAATAGGGAGGGAGCTGACAGAGCCCTCGTCCCTCTCAGACAGGCACGGGAGCATCAGCCACTGCCAGTGGCAAGGGTGCCATACCCACCCCGTGCACAGCATCCCCTCGGGGTCCCCTCTCCTGGCTGGCCCCGGTCCCACCAGGGCTGGAAGTACAGGACCAGACTCAGAGCTCCCAGAGCAGTGAGAGGATGGCTGGGAACCCACCCAACCCCAGAACCCCTGCCCCACTGAGCACTCCCTGGCCCTAAACTGGGACATGCAGTGACAGCAGCATGGCACAGCATTGCCAGGGGCTGGGCAGGGCACATCCACAATCAGGCTGTGCCCCGGGAAAGCACAGCCCAGGGAGCTTTACCAGGGGAGCAGCTCAGGGGCCAGCAGGGCAGGACTACCAAAAGGTCCTCTAAATGCTTTCTCCTCAGTATTTGGGGTTTTAGGTAAAACTATGAGAAAAAAATAAAATCATCTGTGGAAATAGAAAAAAATCATCTTTAGAAACGAATTAGATGTACAGAAGCAGGGCGATTAATATGTGTTGATGAATTTCAGGACTCTAATTTCTTTTCCTAAAGGAAAAAGGGGAACAGGTGGGAAAAGGGAACTGAACTAGATTTCCAGGTAAGGCAGAATTCAGTGATCAGAAATAACAGTCAAGCATACTTTTGGAATTGTCTTAAGAGTTCCATTTATGTATTTTCAAAGTGGATAATTTCAATTCTTCAAATTATTGAGCATAAAATACCTTGACATTTACCTAAATGTTAAGAAGATGGTTAAAAAGAACTTAACTGGAT